GGCAGGCATGCTTATTTTGTTTTTTGTTTACTGTAAAACTCATGGTATAATTTCCTATGAAGAATGCAAAAGGCAGAGAGAGGGACAAGAGTTAATATTACTGATTATGAAAATAGAAGGCAATGCCACGGTGAGCAATGCAGCAGAATTTAATTCAGCCAAAGAATACAATAATCTTGCCTTACCTGTTCCTAAAGATTTATAGTTCCCAAAGAGTTTTAGATGCCCTACCCCTTGAATTAAGTGTTAGTGCTACAAAAGTATAAATAATTTAAAAACTGAGTGGCAATTAACAGAGCCAAAAGATCATTCAACTGGTTTTATTTAAGAATTAAATTATCCTAGAATTCATTTTTCCAGCACAGCAGAAGCATGATTTACATAAGAATTGATATGCTAATTAAGATTAAGCTTGGAATTTTGCTGTGATATACTTTGTTAATAAACTTCCTGATATTTTCTAAATTTGAAAGTTCATAATTTGGTAGGTAGTATATTTTTGCCCTGATTTTTCCACTTTAAAAAAAATCAAAAGTATGGCATGGAAAATTATGGTGAAGAAATTTGTCCCATCAGAAGGATGTTGTTTTCTAGTTAAACATAACATTTATTCATCACTGTGGTTTGGATGTTGCCCTATACCCCATGTGTTGTGAGGCTGGTCCCCACAGCAGTAACACTATAAGACTGTGGAGAGATGGGATTTAGTGAAAGTCCTGGGATCGTTAGAATTCCTGACACAGGAAAGGATCAAGGCATTTCCCCAGGCTAGCTGTATTGGTTACTTTCCTATTGCTGTGATAAGACCCCATGACCATAGAAGAATGCATTTAATTTTATTTATGGCTTCAGAGTGTTATAGTCCATGATGGCGGAGTGAAGTCATGGTGGGCGGGAACAGGTGAGAACACACATCTCAAACCACAAGTAGGAGGCAGGAGACTTAGAGGAATAATGTGAGGTTTTTGAAAAACCAACACTTTCCCCAGTGACATAACACCTTCAACAAAGCCACACTTCCTATTCCTGCCCAAATAATTCCATCAAATGGGGACCAAATATTCAAACATAAGGGGCTTCTTATTCAGACTTCCACACAGCCTTGGTAATACTCATGAGAACACAGTTATAAAAGGAGCAAGCTGCACCCACTTTTCTCTGAGCTTCCTGGTTTAAGACATGGTTTCTGCCTTGCTTGTATTATGTCTGCCTGCTACAAGGTCTTCACATGCAGTGTGCTGTACTGCTTGGATTTCGAGCCTCCAAATCAAGAACCTATTAAGTCTTTTTATTACATAAGTAGGGGCCTGTAAAGTGGCTAAGATACGGAGTGTTTGCCATTGAGCCTGAGAACCTAAGTTTAATCTCCCAAACCCACACAGTGGAAGCAGAGAACTGACTTCCACAAGTGGTCTTCTGACTACATATATGCCAATTTTCCACATAAGTTCTAGATGGTTTATGTTTGTTCTTATATATGAATTGCTTTTGTCCTTGTTTCCTTACAGTTCTTCTCTTTAAGCTTTTGGTTTAACTATGGTATATCTTGGTACATATCTTTTTTTTTTTTTTGTTTCCAGTACTTATTGATTTGTTAAAAATTCTTCATTCTACAGATTTGTGGCTTTCATGAGAATTAAAATACTTGAAGTTATTGTCTCTCCAAATCTTCTATTCTCCCTGTCCCCAGGGAAGCTCCAATTGTATGTGTCAGTGCCTCATTGGCCGCTAAGATCATCCACTGTTTGTGAGGTCATGTTTCTCTCCTTGCTCCGTATCAGAGTTCTTCTCCTAGGTCTTACGTTCACTGATCTTTTCTTCAACAGAATAAAAAAGGGTTATTAATGCCACCTAGCAACTTTTTTTTAGTAAATATGTTATTTTTATTTTTTTAATTTTTACGATTATTTACACTTCCTTCCCTCCTCCCAATTCCCCCCCCTCCCCCACACCGCCAGAGGGCCAGGAATATTTCTTATCTGTGGCTTAGTTTCTTTCCCTATTGTGCTAATGTATTTCTTGAAATTTTTTAATAAAATAATAGAAATGGGTTAATTTAATATGTAAGAACATGCTAGGAATATGCTATAGTTATTGGCCAAGCAGTGATTTAATTTAAAAAAAAAAAAGAAATTTTTTTTTCCTTGAGATGTTTTAAGAATAATTTTGAGAGTCCTTTTTGGCCAGCTTCATTATTGGTGTCATTCTGAGCCTATTTTAGATTAACTGGTGTTTTTATTCCTCTATATTATGTACTGTTTTAACATCTAGTACTATTTATTTGGTAATGGATGCTATCAACATTATGGTATTGAGTCTGCAGAGATTAATGGAAGTTTTCTCCTGGCCTCTGAAAGTTTGCTAGTTGAATTTGCTGCTAAAAAAATGACAATAGACAAGTGGGGTGGGGGAAGAAAGGCACATAGAGTTATTATATGTGCCAGGATTTGGCAGGAAGTGAGTACCCAATGATTCAGCAATGTTTAGAATCTTCTAGATCCTTTCAAGATGAGATGGAAATCAAGATGTAATTATTTTTAAGAGAAAGAGTAAATTTTTTTGGAAGGGGGTGAGGAATGGTCCTATAGAAAAGACAGAAGCCCAGGACAGCGTTCATCTGGTTTCTGACTATAATGTTAATTTTGACCACTTTTCTGTGAGGTAAGCTTCCATGTTTGATGACACAATGGTGAGTGGGATGCTGAGTATTGGACAAACCCAGACCTCCCCCGTCCACCATGGGGACTTAGTCGGGAGTCTGTCAAAGCAGGATCTCGTTTAATGGTATCAGGCAGGAACTGATATATGGTTGTGATGGGGGTGGAGAAACTTGGGATGGGTTGAGGCAGAATAAGGAATAAGGGCCAATAATATCCTGCTGTGCTAGCGGTGGCTGGCAGAGGTGGGTCTAGGTTGGGTAGCCAGAGACAGGTCTCCAAACTTGAGCCAGGCTCAGGAAATTATTCTAGGCCTTACCAAACTCAAGTTAAGCTCAGAAAGTTACAGTGGGCCTCACGCCCAGGCCTCATGAAGCCCAACACCTTCCTTTCCGTTCCTTTCCTTTCCTTTCCTTTCCTTTCCTTTCCTTTCCTTTCCTTTCCTTTCCTTTCCTTTCCTTTCCTTTCCTTTCCTTTTCCTTCCCTTCCCTTAACCTTTCTCTTTCTTTCTTTCTTTCTTTCTTTCTTTCTTTCTTTCTTTCTTTCTTTCTTTCTTTCTTTCTTTCTTTCTTTCTTTCTGCTTATTTAATCTTGGTGTTGAGGGTTGAACCCACAGCCTCACATATGCTAAGTCCTCTAGTCAGATATTTATCCTCAATAAATAGCATTTTTTTCCTGAGCCCTAACAGGTAACTGAACCTTTTCCAAAACTTCTTTTAAAGAGTATGGGTTTAGACTAAAGGCAAGGTCTTTGTGGACAGCATGACCTTTCACCCTTGTGATGGTTGTCTACAAACCTTAGGAAGGGATGATCCGTGCTACTTTAGCATTGTTACTAACTTGGGGGATTGTGGATTTCTACTGAATGTTGCAGGGTTTACTATGGTCTCTCCATACTAGCTATTTAAAAAAAAAAAGTCAAATGTCTCCCAGCTCTGCATGAGGTTTGTTGCTTTTGCTGCTGTAGCTCCTATACACAGCCACATAGAGTCTAACTGTGCACAGTATTTGGCATACAGCCAAAAACATGACAGAGCTGTCATGGTTCAAAAGTCCCCTCAGAATCTCATAAGGACAGCCTATCTTCTATATGCAAAAGCATTTGGAGTTTGGTGTTTTGGCACTTAATGAGGATTTGATAAGTGAGGTTCCCTGTGGTGGGACTAGCCAGTTACACTCTGTTTCTTCAAGGAAGTCCTCTGCCACATTGTGTTGTGGACCGAGGACCACACCTGCTGCTGGCATCTTGTTCTGAGTGTTCTTAGTCTCTGAAAATATGAGCGAAATAAACTTAATTCTTTACAAATGACTGCTTTTGGTATTTTGTAATAGCCACAAAATCTAGACTAATACAAGATCCATTAGAATCTGTGGGGTTCTGGGCTGCTAGCTCTGCAGTTCCTACTTCCTCAGTATTCTGGCTTTCGTGTCCCACTTACACTGCCATTTCCAAACTCCAGTTCCTGTTTCCTGAGCTCAGCTGGATCCAGAGGTCATATCTCTATTTCTGTGCAGAAACAGAGGTGGCCATCAGTTTCATCTCATTTATTGTATTTCGCTTCTCTCTGATATCACAGTCCTTACTGTTTCCCAAGGCCAAAAAATAGCTCCAGTTTCTAATATTGTCCAGTCTTTCTGCTGTTTATGCCTATGTCAGTTCCAGGTATTTAATCATGGCTGAAAGAAGATATTTATGTTCCTCCTGGTTTCACAGTTGAGTCATTGAACATGAAAAACAAATAATCTTCAGACTTGGATGCATGAGCCATTTTATGACAGTATGAGTTGAAGTTTTCTGCTACAATTCAGCAAAATGCATACCCTAAGCAACATACCGTACAAAGAGCATCTCCAAGGCTCAACGTGAAAGTGCATTCACTTTACTGTTCTTTGTTTCCAAGTGGATCTCAGCAGCACAAGCCTTGCCTTAATCCAGGTCAGTTGTTCTCTGCTTACAGTGGGCACCTACGTAGGATTCTGATGTTGTGTCTGACACGAGGGTTTATGAGCAAAGTTTCTTCTCTCAGGAAGCTAATTGTGATGTGGGAGTGTCATATATCAATCTGTTGATTTCATTGGTTAAGGAATAAAGAAACTCCTTGGCCCTGATAGGTTAAAACATAGGTGGGAGGAGTAAACAGAATAGGATGCTGGGAGGAAGAGGAAGTGAGCTCAGACTTGACAGCTCTGCTCTCTGGAGCAGAGGCCCTGCTTCGCTCTCCTGGGCACATGCGATGAAGCTCAGACCCAGGATGGACGTAGGTTAGAATCTTCCCGGTAAGTGCACCTTGGGGTGCTTACACATATTATTAGAAATGGGCTAGTCCAGGTACGAGAATTAGCCTAGAAGAGCCTAGATAGAAATGGGCCAAGCAGTGCTTAAATGAATACAGTTTGTGTGTTGTTATTTCGGGGACGCAGCCCCGCGGCTCTTATTTCAACATAATTGTTTGCTAGGGGGAATTTTACCTTCAAACAAACAAGGCCAATACAGTTGGTTGTGTGTTGAATTATGTTCCCTTCAAAGACAAGATCAAGGTCTCCCTTCTGGTACCTGTGGAGGTGATTTCATTTAGAAATCATTTTTGCAGAGGCAATAAAGTTACGATAAAGCCAGGCCAAATTAGAGTGAGCACCAATTCAAAGGCTGGTACCCCTATAAGAAGAAGAAATTATGAACACAAACAAGTCCCGTGAGAAACTCCATATGAATTCAGGGACAGTAGGACAGACAGGTGACACAGGACGATAGAGGCAGGGTTAGAGTGATAACATCCGTAAATAGGGGGTGCACAGGCTGTTAGCACCCCCTAGAAGCTGGCAGAGAAAGGATTTTCCTCTAGGATCTTCAAAAGGGTAGGATACTTCTTCAAGTTTGGGCTTCTAGCTCTCAAAAGTGTGAGAGAGTTCTCTTGTCTCTGGGAAGTCAGTATGTTCCTTTTGTTCTGGTAGCCTTACAAAATGAATAGACAGCAACAGAAGATGTGCACAGTGAAGAAGTAGCCAAAGGGAGCTCATGCAGCCTCTTCAGGCTGCGGAGCATCTATCGAAACTGAGTGGAGGACCCTCTCTCCAGATAATAATCTAGGTACTTTGTGCCTCTCGGGAAAAGCCAGAGGGAGGGACAGCAGCAGCAGATTTGAAGAAGCACAGCCATAATTTTTCCAAAATTGAACAAAAGATTCTGCACATCAAGAGTCCCAGTTTGTTTGTTTGCTTGCTTTTGCTAAACAATAAGATGCCTTTCTCATGCACACAAAGTCCACTGAAACTATGGGTAACTACCAGAATATCTGTCTTCAGGGTAACGATCACCAGGATCTGTATAAGTTTTCAATCTCATACAGCATCCTCATCATACACTCCCATCCTCAGCATGGCCGCAGTACCAAGTACTTCTCATCTGCTGGCTTCACTCTGGAGTCCTGTGTTCATGTCAGACACAGTTCTGCTTTGATTGGACTTCTGGCTCCCCTGCTAGTCCTGATTATTTTCCCTTTTCATTTTAGAACATTTATTCCATGGTAAAATAATGAGTTTTAGTTATTTCATTACCATATGTTTATTAATTTACAAACTAATGGGCTTCATTATGACCTTCCCATAAACCTGGGTCTCCAAACACTGCCATTTCCATGTTCCTGTCCCCCATGCCCTCTTGCTGTCTCATTTCCAAACAGCCTCCCTGTCTACTTTCAAACTTTAATTTGAAAAGTCAGATTCCATTTAAGAGAAAACACTCAGTGTTCATCATTCTGAGTCTAACTCAAACTGCTTTGTTTAGAGTAATGAGCTCCAGTAGCATCCATTTCTTATACGAAACATAAGTTCATCCCTCATTATGACATAATAAAGATTCCTTGTATCTATTTACTGCTTTTGAAATTCACTTTTGGTGGACATCAAGGTCAATTCATAACTTGACTCATGATAAAAATCTTATCTTCTTAATTCTGTCACCTTTACTGCTTCCTGGAGGATCCAACATTTGACTTTTCCTATCTCATATCACAAAAAGACTGGCGAGGCGGTGACAACAGCCGGCGAGGCGGTGACAACAGCCGGCGAGGCGGTGACAACAGCCGGCGAGGCGGTGACAACAGCCGGCGAGGCGGTGACAACAGCTAAATCCTTGTGCTGCTTCTCTGCTGTGGGATTCTTTAGGATGCATTCGAGGAAAAACAGCTGTTTTATTTTTTACTTATAGTCATAAATGCTGTCTTACCTCTGTCCCAGTTCAGTGTGGATTAACCTGGCCAAAACAAACAAACAAACAAACAATCAAACAAACAATGGCAGCATCAAGAGAGGGGCCAGCTCTGTTCCTGATTGCCAATCAGTCACTGTCTGAGCTTTTCCATGACAGAAAGCAAAAGCCCCCAAATTGATTTTTCTTTAGCCTTCTTCTCCCAAAGGAGTGACAAATGACAGTTCTTGTGCACTGAGAAGAATTCTTTGTCATGCTGGGGACTGTGAAGGTCCTTTCTGCTTTTGCTCCTTAGCCATACAAAGCCTGCTTCTCGTCTTCCAAAGACTGATCTCTAAAGTAGCGCCATAGTACTCCACTGCATGCCCACTTTGCTCTTTTCAGGTGATATCAACTATAGATTATTCATAATTGATACATATGTGTCATTTTTTAAACATAAGAACATTATCTTATAAGTGAGAAAACCATTATGTACTAAATTCGACCCTTTCTGGCAAAGACTTATTTTGATTTCATTCCCTTGAAATTACAGATAACACTCAGGTAAATATTCTTGAACATGTGTCATTTTTACATGTGAAAGCAGGTACATTTGATATTTGCTAATAACTATTTTATAGAGTTTTTATGTATTTAAAACCCCATCATAGAAATACTTACTTCCTCAGATTTTTAACAGAAGGTGTTATCAAGCTTTTAATTTTAGATATTCCAACAAAAATAGCATACTATGATAATGTTTTACTTTCTTCTTACTGCAGGACTGCTGTATTGCTGTGCATGTTGTGCATGGAATGCATTCAGGAGCATCTCACGTTCAGTTTGATGTAAAGAATACTGCCTTGAAGTCTGTGATGGCGAACTGGCACAGCTAAGTGTGGTGCCCCTGCTCTGTGGTAGGCTGAAGCTTAGTTAACTTCAACTTCCTAAGACTGAGCCTCATGTAACTCTTTTTCTTTTTTTTTAAATTTATTTATTTCTTTATTAATTAATTAAAGATTTCTGTCTCTTCCCCACCGCCGCCTCCCCTTTCCTTCCCTCTCCCCCAATCAAGTCCCCCTCCCTCGTCAGCCCAAAGAGCAATCAGGGTTCCCTGCCCTGTGGGAAGTCCAAGGACCACCCACCTCCATCCAGGTCTAGTAAGGTGAGCATCCAAACTGCCTAGGCTCCCACAAAACCAATAGATGCAGTAGGATCAAAAACCCATTGCCATTGTTCTTGGGGTCTCAGTAGTCCTCATTGTCCGCTATGTTCAGCTAGACCGGTTTTAACTCTTTTTCTATTAACGTTCTTGTCTTTTTTTTTCTCCCATACATTGTCTGTGTTTTAATTTTCTATTTTTTTAGTTTGTAATGAATTTTATATATTATATAAGATATACTATATGGGTGGTCTGCACCAGAATGTTCCTTGTGTCATAGGTCAATAATCACATTTCTGTTCACTTTTCTAATGCACACCATTATAATCTGCTCATTTTCACCCCAAGTGACCTTTCAACCTTCCCCTCCATCCACTGGTCCCCCTCCCCTCAAAAGGAGTCATTCTTTTTCTCTTATGTATGAGGAAGATGACCTGGAATCTATAATTGCCTTGGATAATTGATCTATGAACATGGTGGTGGTCTTCCTATCTGCCACTGTTACTCTATGAACATGGTGGTGGTCTTCCTATCTGCCACTGTTACTCTATGAACATGGTGGTGGTCTTCTTATCTGCCACTGTTACTTTATTAATATGGTGGTGGTCTTTCTATCTGCCACTGTCTTTGTCAGTTTCTTTCCTTAGTATTTTAGTTTTCATTCTAGTCTTTTACCTCCTTGCTTCAGTTTGCTCCTCAGATTATTTTTAAAGCTATTGTAAATGGGCTTATTTTCCAAATGTTTTTCTCCATATGTTCCCTATTGGTTTATAGAAAATATACTGGGTTTTATATGTTGATTTTGTATCTTACAACTTTTCTGAGAGTGTATGTGTATATAATTCTACCAAACAGCTAGAGAGAGACACAGGACAATATCAGCATCACAGAAGTCATCCCTTCCAATCAACACATTCCAAGGGCTCATCTTTATTGTGACATAGAACGCCATGAGTGCTTGGCCTATTTCTGAACTTGAATGAAGAGCCCCCCCATGACATGCATCCTCTAGCAAGGCTGCACCATCTAAGCCTACCCCAACAGCACCGCCACCTGGGGTCTAAGTGTTCAAATGACGGAGACTATGGATGACAGTTCTTATCCAAACCACTATGCCATCTGCAATTCTAATAACCAAGGTCAGTCACTCTGCATCTTCTCCCCATTTGAAGAGGATATCATGTAGTCTAGGAGGAGCCCATGCTCAGCTTGAAGTTTTCATAGCCTCTGCTGCTTTCTTCATGCCCACTCTGTCCGCTTAAAATTTTTTTTTTTTACAGTGGCCCCCTAAGGTTCACTTAAACCCTCAGTTATTAGCAACATAGGCTGTGATATCCAAGATGCTAGTATTCAAATTTTTAGGGGTGAAGAATATGCCATCTCCTCAACATCTGCCTCCCTTCCTTTCAAAGGGAGTCTAAATAAACAAGACAGTCTGGACAACACCCTAACACTCTTTTTGATAAATATTTGCTTCTACAGAAAAGAAGATTTCCTATCTGGCAAATTCCCATCTCTTGACCAGCAGTCTTGAGAAATAGGGTTTTGGCTGAACTGGGTTCCCCAGAAATGTAAATGTTTCACACACAAAATCGCTCTTCTCTAGAGCAGCTGTTTTCTAAGCAAACCCAAGGATTACACTGAATGAGATTTTAAAATGGAGATAAGTAATGACTTTAATATCTGTTCTCCTTCTTCATCTACGAAAATAATTCTGTTTTTTAAAAAATGATACACTCAACTTATTAAATAAGTAAATCTCGTCCTTGCCCCCACAAAGAACTATGACTGCAGCCTTCATGAAAACAACAATAAAAACAGAAACTAGGTTGTTCCTGTTCAAAATATAAATAACAGAAGCAAAATGAAGAAACCTTCACATGAAAGACTGAGGCTCTCAGCAAAGAAAACAAGCAGGTTATCTGATTTTATGGACAAAGATGTTGTGGATAAAGAGCAAGGATTAGAGATATGATATGGTGTTTTTATTGCTTTTCTCCCCATGGTCTTAAGTTACTTCCTTTTGACAGTTCCAGTAATATCAGTATTCTGGGATAGATGAGGAGGCCAGTAACCCATATTTCTTGAATTACATTCTACAAACTGGGGAAACTAATAGGGACATGAAATTCTCACTCAGAAAAATGTTAGCTTTTGTATTCTCCATACTATCTTTTGATTATCTGAACCCTGTGCTATTCTACAATGAGTCACTTCTTGTCCCCCAATTTTTTATGCACCCTGGCAACACATAGCCTTTACTTTGATACGGTCAGTAAGTTTATTCTCCACGTTCATTCCCACCAACACTGCTAACAATCCCAGGCTAGTGGAATCCATTTTCTCTCAATCACTTAAACTTTGATTTCAATGACTTCGTACTTACGAGCCAGAAATACTTGCACTGGCTGTTTTCTTATGTACATAAAACAATCTTCAAATACGAAAAATAAAATTTCTTTTGTTTTTTTTTTTTTTGAGGTACAGGAATGTTTATAAAATTAAAATATAAGTGTTTAATTGAACTTAAATGTTAGGTTTGCAGTTGCTGCCAGGGCACAGCGCAGCAGAGCTCCACCAAGTAGTTGCAGCCATTATGCAATTTTCCAAGCCATGGTCCTTACTAGCTCACATTAGTGCCTGAATACATGTGTAAGTCCTTGCCTGTAGTACGCTTCCAGATCCCTAATCACAAAAATGAATTCCAGCAGGCATGCTTTGAAAGTCAGATCAGTAAATGATCTCTGAATATTTTAGCAGGTATGGAGAGTTTCCTTGACTTTAGACCTCAAGAAGAGTTTTATCTTAACTGGTGATACTTCAAGGATCATCTCGAGCAGTCAAATTATAAAGAGTTTATGCTAGACCCTGGTTCTAGGGGCTAAGATAACGAGATGACGGAGGGAGACATAGCAGCCATCAGCAGGCATAGCTTCTGGGGCAGAGCGCTGAGCGTGCCCATCTCAACTGCAAATACAAGCAGGGGGAGGAAACTGGGCCTAGGGCCAGGGCTGAAGTTCCCAAGCTCTGACCTAAGTAACATAATTCTTTCAGGAAGACCACACCTCCTAAGGTTCCCAAAGCCTCCCAAAACAGATACCACCGACTGGGAGCCAAGGGTCTAAATCATGAGCTGTATGGGGACATTCTCATTCAAACCATTGAAAGGATGATCATCCGTCCGTGTGTCAGGTCAGCTCTGCTCCAGGTTAGCTAAGCAAGCCCAAGAGATTAAGAATCCAGCTTCATTCAGTCCATGTGCTTTTGGATTTTCTCATTTATAGAATAACAGGCTAAGGGAAGGGCTTCTAGAACCCTGCACTCACTGCCAACCCTCTGTCTGTCTTGGTGCACCCCCACAATCATGTATTCATCACAAGCCATTCAGGTGATTCTGATCTGGACTGCCTGGGTACAAGGGTTCCTTCCTTAAAAGACACAGTGTTCAGCTTCTATTTAAAGAGGGGTTCAGTGTGCAGAGACAAACTAGAGAAATTGTTTCCAGCCAAGGGGCTCTTCCTGTTGCTTTTCTAGCAGCATGGGTTCCATAGTCCACGCAGAGACGATGTGGGCAGAGGAATCATTCTCTGTCATTTCCACAGAATGGCGTCTCCAGGAGATGTGTTGGCACAGGCTCGTGTTACCATTTTTTCTCTTTGAGTGGGATGATCTCCTATTTCCTTTTAAACTTCAGCAACTCCAGTAAACAAGCTGATAGGTCCATGGTGTGATTACAGAAGTCAAATTCAAAGTCAAAAGAATGTAAAGACCAGCCTAAGCACCAAAGCATTGATCCTTGTGGACTTCTCTACTAAGTTAAGCTGATTGTAAAGGTTCGTAGTCAACTACACAATGAGCATTATTTACTTTGAAGTTCTACCATTCAGACTTTCAAATAATCTGTTTTCTGGGGTGGCCGCCTCTCCTGTGCTGAGATTGTATTTTACCCCACGGATGCTTACTTAGTACCATGACCCTTTTGAATAGCCAACAGGGCTTCCCGCTGCTTCACGACCTACACACAATGTTAGTCTTTAGAGACTTTCATTTTTTTTTCTTCCCTGGTACAAGAAGACAAACGAACTGAAATTGTGCCAAGATTTCACTTCGACCATAGCATGAGATAAAGAGGATTTACAAGCAAAGAACTCTCTTGAACGGCTGCCAAAACAGCAGATAACTTTTAAACAACACAATGTGGTAGCAGAAAATGCCTGTGGCAAACCTACTGCTGAGGGATAGAGGAGCTGCTCACAGAACATGCTGGCAAACTGTGAGCTTAGGCTCTGGGAAGAGTGATGGGCTCCTCCTCCTCACACTAACCTGGATGGTACAGAACACACAAGTCTTTGGTTTTTATTATTGATCTTTGACAAATTTTGACTGATGTACAGCAATCAACTATGTGACTCATTTAGTTTGAAAGGACTTTAATTCAGTACATTAAATCAGAATGTGTTCTGATTAAATTAACTAAAACATGAACGTACTCTTACTTGAGTCAGGCTTAGGGATACCAATGGAATAGAGTAGATCATTTCTGTCTTTACTGAAGATTGTCCTCTTTCAGGTTTCTCTACAGATAGGACAGACTGCATGCACTAAGCATTTATTTTTTACAGTCTTGAAGTTTGATGCTCAAGGTCAATTTTTTTTTTGACAGATTTGGGGTCTTATAGTCACATTCAGTGACCAGAAGAAGATTTTCTGGAGTCACCAGGTGTCTTGGTGTAAAACAATGATTAAATGTTTTTT